GTGGACTTCAACTCCCAGAATTCCCCAGCCAGCACAGCTGGCTGGGGAATTCTGGGAGTTGAAGTCCACCCATCTTAAAGTTGCCAACGTTGACAGACACTGGCTTAGTAGGTTGTATGAACCCAACCAGTTGGGTTTGATTAAAGGAACCACATGAGAACAACATGGGAGCTTCTTTGAGGAGGTGCTTCCTGGTGCAACGGAGAGATGCATTGAGCCCCATTGAGAATTCACCCCTTCCACGCTCTCTCTCGCTCTAATGTGTTGATTAGACCTACTCAGGATTATCCTGATAGCTCCAACATTCCCCAGTTTAGGAAGTGCTGCCACATTTGTTGAAGATGTACTTTAGTACTACCCACACCCCATCTTGTGTGGTTGCTTTGTTCACTGTGAGACCTTCAGCTGGTGAAATCCTGGTGGTGAAATCTCCAGCTTGACCCCACGTTGCAGAGGAGTTTCAGAAAAGTTTGTTGCCCAGGGTTGTGGAACCAGGAATTCCGCATTTTCCTTGTGAGATTGTATCTCTTCTCATTCTCTCTGGATTTAGCTATACATCAGGAAGGCCCATCCTGTCAATTGCATGGGGTCTCTGCCCCCATTTTTGCCTGGCATGAAGGCCTCCAAGATTGCCTAGTCAAAAAACTGAGTGGCAATTTTCAGTGCCGTGAGTTATGTATTGATTGCACTTTAAAATAAAGGTTCAGCCACACTTAACTCCCAGCTATTTTGACTTAAACTCTCCTCCAGCACCCTCCCTCTTCAAAACACTAAAACAGAGTTTTCTGCATGGTTTCACAGCAGCTTTAAATTTATTTTTATGCTCCTCATTCCTCAGCCTTTTACTTTTGTGACAATCCACAAAAGGTTATTATATTTGTTTTTGTTATTGATTTTAAGTTCTTAGAAAACAAGAATTCTTCCAAGTCTTTCCTGGTGTTGCTGAAAGAATGGACGGTGAGTATTGAATTGTTGCGGTTTTGAAATTTATTATATCCCATTCAAGTGACTGTTCAGGATTCTGCAGGATCAGGGGTACAGCTATTCATTGTGCTTGAAATTACTTACAATTTATGGATTTACAACAGTACATGATTTAGCTGTATACACTTTAAGAGCTCAAACAGCATATTCAAATTCTTGACTGGAAATTATACAGGATTAAATGAAGGTGGCAGCAGTAAGAATTAAGATAACTGAGAATAACAATAAATGTTCCAACAATTCAAAAACAAACGAACAGAACAAAATTTAGAAGTAGGAAATAATTTCCTTTGGGAACAGAAATTAGAACTGAGCATTGCAATGTTAAATGGAATTTGTAGTGCAGCTCCTCCACTTAGGGAGAACGTATGAACTATTTCTGTATTTACATTGGCTTTCTTAAAGCAACAGGGGAGCAAAGGTAAACCTAAAACAGTGTTTCTCAACCTCGGCCACTTTAAGATGTGTGGACTTCAACTCCCAGAATTCCCCAGCCAGCATGGCTGGCTGGAGAATTCTGGGAATTGAAGTCCACACATCTTACAGTGGCCAAGGTTGAGAGACACCGACCTAGAGGAAGGAACTTAAAGCATTTTTTAATCCCTTCATCTCTAAGAGTAGTTGAAATCTTTTTCTTAGTACCGTAGTCCAATCGAGAGCCTCTAGGTTTTTCATTAAAACGAATCCATGATTAGTCTTCTCATCTTGTTGGTTTATTGTAGCCAATGACCAATCAATGTGACAGACAAAATGACAGAGATAAACAATGCAACATACAAAATTTACAATGCAATAATACTACTATTAAACTAGTGGGTATGAGAACTATTTAAAATATATCACCTGGCCGAAGCCTAAAATCAAATCAAATTGTTAATATCATCATAAAATAAAATGAAATGCCTTTTATCACTGGGAGCATGTGTAAGCCTAGTTATGTCACAAAAATTGATACATTTACCATTTGTTGTTAGCAAAAATTGAAAGTCTAGAGCAGGGGTTTTCAAACACTGCAGAACTTGCTCATTAAAAAAAAAAAAAAATCCAGGACCTCTGATCAAGAGAGGTGAGGCTTCTGAATATCAGCTGCCATTCTGTCAACTTTTCTGCCATATCTTAGAAAAATTGCTGTAGATGCTCCTGAGAAGCAGATGGCTGAGTGCACCTGGGTTGGGTTGTTTGGGTTGGATTGGGTTTTCCTATCCCCCTCTTAGTCCTTTTCAGAGAGGTTTTTATTTCCCTTAGTCCCTTGCAGACAGTTTGTTAAGGGGGGAAACGGAATGTAGTCAACTATTTTTTTCTGCCTTGACGCTGCTTCTCAAGAGTATCCACATTTTTTTCCTCTTAGTTACACTGAACCCCGTCTAGAGACTTAGGGTCCTATGGAATCCAGTTTTTAAAAGCTCAGGGTAGAGGGTCTGAGAGATTTGATAAGTGTCCCAGTGTGCCAGATGCCAACTGAAAGTGGCATTTCATAGCTGTGGAACAAAGTTTAGCTACTGAGTGAGTAATGTTAGTTGAGAAGTTTAACAGAAGAAATGAAGGGCATACCTCACCTTCAGGAGAGGAGAAATTGGGGTTACCCATAAATCTCTATAAAAGATGCAATATAATAAGACATGGTCTATATCCTCAATCGTAAATGCTGTAAACAAAATTGTAAATACTTTGTTAACAAAGTGTTTGGTTTCCATGGCCCTGCATTTTTTTGGTATCCCAGTTTTTTTAAAAAAAATATTTGCTGTATTTGTAAACCACTTCATATTATAACAGTTTGATGAGTCGACCAAATCTTTCTTAGCTGATTTATATTTTCTGAGTTTCTGATTAACCTTTTTCCTGGAAACAGGCACATTTTACTCCATGTAGGTACCTTGGCAGTGGGAGAATCACCTTCAGTTTGCAGAATAAAAGGGAGAAGCAGTCAGAAGGAAGAAGTCTCAGCTTCTACCTCACGGAGAATGGCCTTCTAGAAAATGCATGGTTCCCATGGTTGGAGGCACCTCCTTTATCGGTGGACTCCAGACATTTTTCTAGAATCCTTATTCTCAGGGATGCAGATCCCTTATCCCCCTTCCTTGCAAGCAATCAACTTCTGCAGATAGAAGGCAAATAGGGTTTCTCTTCTCTTTCCATCCCTGTCCATGTATTACTACTTCTTGCTTCCTTTGTGTCTAGGAGTGTGTACATGTGTATTTGTGTGTTGTTGAACTTCAGGATCTTATGCAGTAATGGAGACCCCCCCCCCAAAAAGCCCACACAGAGTGTTACCCTCTTAGGTTTAATGATTGTGATTGCTTAAGCTACACCTACTCACATATTCATACTCACCAAGCACCTTTACAATACCGGCTAGGTAATGTGAGGGCTGTTGGAGAAGGCAAAGGGCTTGATAGATGGTTGCACGCATGAGTGGAGTCTTCTGAAAAGTCCCTGGCCAGCCCTTCTTTTTATGCCAGCAATCCTCCACCTCAGCTGTCGTTTCTTTCACGCGCTGTAGCTGGGTGAAGGAAGACTTGCTGCTTAGCAGTCAGTATCGTTTTATCATTTCTCCTTGGCTGTTCTTCAGTTTGGTCTGGTTTCAGCTTGTTCCTGTGCACGTATGCCATTCTCTCTGGGAGGATTCTCAGTCACTTTCTCTCCTCTACTTCCCTCAGTCTGGGATCATTCTCACAATGTTGGAGTGACTTGTGTATGTGTATATGAGAGAAAAGATCATTGATGTAAGCAGAGCTTGTTGTCTTTGCTCTCGAAAGGTCTCCTGAGCTTAGATGTCTGTTTTCCTGAGCCCACATGTCTACTATGCAAACCCAGAAAATGATGCTGCTCTTTTAAGGCCCTGCCAGTAGGGTCTCTGGGCTGCTTCTGAAGCGCCATTGCCACTTGGGTGCAAGCATTGTGCTTCTCTCATGTTTTCCATAAAGACTCCTTTAAGTTAAACTCAACTCCTAGTGACTGTGGAGACACATCCAGGTAGCTTTCTTAACAACAACGCTGACATGATTTCCCCTTGACTTCTTAATTTAGTTATTCAGTTATATATTTATTTATTTATTCCCAGCCCTGTCCTTATTGGAGTGTAGCTTTTGGCCAAGTATATAGATGCATGCATAGCAATTGAATCACACATATGGACATATTTATTAGGTGGGGGGGAGGTTACTGCTCCAGGACAGCTTCAAATTGAGTTGGCATGGATCACCTGATATTTAAAGAGATAATTGGTATTGCTTCTGTACAGGAGGGGAAAACAGAAAACTTTCTGTTTTGTCTCAGGGATGTAATTATATACTGAAGTATATTTTGCTTGGTTTTAATAGTTGGGAGTGGAAGTGTTTGTAAGGCTGCTTCATTGGATCATTGCTAACTTAGCTGTTGCCCATTTTCTTCCAGAGGATGATCATTTAGACCTGTTAGCTTCTCTCTTAGTAGAGAATGAAGCAGAAGATTCTGCAGGGAATGAAAGAGCAGCTGAAGATCAAGATGAGTATGATTTACTCTTTGAGGCAGAAGATGATGAGTCCTACACTGAGGAGGTGGAAGCAGAAGAGGCAGGGTCCGCTTGTAACCAGGAAAATGTGGTAGAGTTGTTTGGTGATGTGGCTGACCTGTCGGAGGACGAGGAGAAAAAGGAAAATGTTCAGAAGGTGTCCCATCCTGTAGCTCTTGATCAAGGGAAAGAACATTCCAATGAAGATCTTCAAGGTCTCTTGAAACTTTCTTATATTTTTTTATGATTAAAAGTTATCTTACCAAAACAGAGTTTTTTGTCACAAAAATTTTTAATAATTGAAAGAAATGGAGCCCCGTTATCAGCAACATATAAGTGGCACCTTAAATTTCAGTTGATTCAGTTTGGCTTTTTCTGATTTTAGCCTACACAGAAAGAGGTGGAATATATGATATGCTGTGTAGGCTAGGTAGTATAGTCTGGAGTTCAGAAGATGCTTCTGAGAATGCTGTTACCTGTTGCTTAGAACTACTCTGGTCTCAAAAGGCTTATAGTAAACCTTTTGATTTGAAGTCACGTGATGGAATATGGCAATAACTACGTTTCTCAGAAGTTAGATTAGGGATGGACAGCCTCCATAATCTCTGGGGTCCTAAAATCTTGCCACAGACATTCAAAAGTAGAATGGTGCTTTGGGGCAGTGTGATCTTTTTGAGTATGTTTACAAGACTTACTATCCCAATTTTGTCTGAAGGCCTTCCCACCACAGCCTCAACAAACTCAGCAGACAGCAGCTTTCTACCTCATTGCCTCTGGTAACATCACCACCTACCCTCAAAGCTCTTAAAAATTGCTCATAACTTAGCTCTGTGGTTTGATATGTAGTTTATGCAGAATGTATGTGTCATGTCCAAATTATTCTTCCTAGCCCCCCAAAATGCTGTTCCATTGGTATTTTCAACATTTTTACCCTGTTCAGACAAGCAAAGGCTCTTTTTAGAATCTAGATCAATGTTTCTCAACCTTGGCAACTTTAAGATATGTGGACTTCAACTCCCAGAATTCCTCAGCCCGTTTTGCCGGCGGGGGGGGTCTGGGAATATAAGAGCCCACAGCCTAACAAGAGGACAGGGAGGGAAAACAACCTGCTA